ACACGGACAGAAAGTCTTTTAAAGCTGGCACCCTGAATTTGAGCTAACCTTCTAAACAGAGAGAATACATTTGTTTGTTAAGGTCATCCATTGGCGGGATTTCTGTGACAGCAGCTCTGGAGAAATAAGATTTTATCTAGTGCTTAGATAACTAAGATAGGAGCCCTGTTGGTGTAGTCGATTCCATGTTGGGCTGCTAACCCGAAGGGCAGCAGTTCAAATCCACCAGCTGCTCCACAAGAGAAAGATGAGGCTTTCTGCTTCTATAAATAGTTACAGCCTCAGAAACCCACAAGGGTAGTTCTACTCTGTCTGTTGGCTTCCTCTGGGTCAGAGTGGACTCGATGATAGTGGCTTTTTAAAAAAATAACTAAGCTAGAAGAACATTTCTTAGACCGTCCTTGTGAGAACGTGCACACACACCGTGTAATCATTTTCTGCACACCTTCTCTCACAACTTGTTACCTTTGTTCCTGTTTGATTGGACTGTAAATCTGTCACCCCCAAATTTAAAAGTCAAAAGAATCCATTGTTCTGTGTGTTTACTTCTGCATTCATTTTCAGGAAACGATGTGTGTCTGTGTGCGGCGGTGCACACTCGCTCAATAGTTATGTGTGCATTTTCAGGCAGACACATCTGGGCTAGAGCATGAAGTCAGGTGGGTTGAGCATGATTTTCATGATGCAATGGAGTTTGCACTCATTCAGTCAACGTTTATCGAAAACAAAACCTTCTGGATCCCAGTCAATCATGGGAATGGTTCAGGACAGGGCAGTATTTCATTATGTTCTGCATGGGGGTCTCCGTAAGTTGGGGCTGACTTAATTAAACTGCAGCGAACAACAGCTAGTTTATGCCACTAATGGCGCTCCATACCAAGACCAAATTTTCTGTCCTTTGTCATCGAGTCATTTCTAACTCAAAGTGACCCAATTGGACAGAGTAGAACTGCCCCACCGAGTTTGCAAGAGGGTAATCTCCTTTATGGAAGCTGACTCTTTCCCTCAGTGTAGCTGGTGAGTGACCACTAATCATTGGTTCACAGCAGGGTGCTTAACCATTGCGTCACCAGGGCTCTTTCTGCCTTAATTAAGGAACTTATAATGTGTCCAAAAGAACCCCGGTTGCACAGTGCTTAGGCACTCAGCTGCTGAGTAAGAGGTCAGTAGTTCGAACACACCCAGGAGGAGAAAGTTGTGCAGCCCACGTCTGTCGAGATTCAATCAGTCAGTACTCCAACACTCAGCAAAGGCACTAGCAGGGCTTCTTGTCCATAAAGATCCTGGCCTGGGAACACTACAGGGTAGTTCTATGCTGTCCTGTAGGGGGGCCACCAGTCAATGTCAATCAGTATAGCCTAGCCAATGGGGCAAAAAGGTATAAAACAATGAGAAATGCCAATGGTGAGAATGCATTCAACGTATGATCAGAGCAAACAGATGAGGGAATGACGCCTGACTCTAATCCAGAGGGGGTAAGGGGGAAGAAGACTTCCGTAGAGAAGATGAGTAAGAATGTATGAAATGGACATAGAAAAGGGAGCGTCCCAGGATGAATGTAAGTCAGCCTCCGTGACTTCAGGGAGACAGACAGCATGTGGGGGTGACAAGAATGCAAGGCGTGAGGCACTGGATCAAGAGTGAGCTTGGCATACGTGCCCTACATCTGGTGGTCGATGAGTGGCCCTTGTAGGATTTATAACACTGCAAGCACATGTTCAGATTAACATGTTAGAACAGAGCTAACAGATTCCAATGTTTACTGAGACTAGAGGGAAGAAGCCAAAGAGTTGTGGGGAAAATAACTACCACCCCCTCCCAAATAAAAAACCATACCAAACAAAATCTAAATCCCAAACTCACTGCTAATCAATTCTGACTCATAGTGACCCTATAGGGCAGGGTAGAACTGTTTTTTGGGCTTCTGAGACTGTAACTCTTTGGGGGAGTAGAAAGCCTCATCTTTCTCCTAAGAGGGCTGGTGGTTTTGAATTGCTGACATGGTGGTTGGCAGCCCAATGTGTAACTCACTATACCACCAGGGAGACTAGCTCAAAACTCACCATCAATGCTGACTCATAGCGATCCCCTGTGGCTTTCTGAGACTGTAACTATTTATGGGAGTAGAAAGCTCAGTCTTTCTCCCGTGGAACTGCTGGTGGTTTTGAACTGTCGACCATGGAGATTGCAGCCTAAAGTGTAACCACTACACTACCGACCTCCTTAATCTGGTCACAGTGTTGATACGGAAACATCTATCATTCAGGATGTGCCCATTCTTAGTATAAATTGACAGTTTGTGGAAGCTAGCTGTCTGATACCGCTGGATTTCAATCCTGCATTTGGTTCATCAATCTTTTATATCATCTGCTGACGCCAAGAACCATCGGCAGACTGCCAACCCTAGATTCATTCAGTTCAGTTTCCACCAGCCTGTGGTCTTCCCTCCTCCTCTTCCTGCTTCCTATTCATCAGCCCCTGCAGCTACAGGACTCAGGAGAAGCCTTCAGCTGACATCTGACCCATGGACTTGGAAAAGACTGGGCGTAACCACTTCTACAACAGGGGAAGCCATGTCTTGATAGAAATCTTTCTATAACACACACAAGCATCATTGGTTTTGCTTCTCTAGAGAACCCAGCCTAACAGCCCCACCCCCACCTTCAGGGGCATGTGCGCATGCGTGTGTGTGCACACACACACACACACACACACACTTTTTGTTGTTGTTGCTAATGCTTTCAGTGCAGGTTGAACTTCCTCCTTCGCTATTATTGCTTCTTGATCATATGCCACTTCTTGAAATGGATAAATGGCAACCAATTCTTTTGACGCAGTGACTGTGTATTCCTTCCATCTTCTTTTTTTTTTCATTTGAAAGCTCTTTTATAGCATTTATTATTTATTGTTTTATTTAATTAAAATCCTTTTATTGGGGGCTTGTACAAATCTTATCATAATCCATCCATCCATCCATTGTGTCAGGGACATCTGCACATCTGTTGCCCTCATCATTCTCAAAACATTTGCTTTCTACTTGAGCCCTTGGTATCAGCTCCTCATTTCCCCCCCTCCCTTATAAACCCTTGATAATGCTTGCTGCATCGTTCAATATTTTCCCCCTGGAATCCTTCAACATTTCAAATTGAGGCATGATGGTTTTTCATCCGTTTTCGCAGCTTGAGAAATGCTGCGTTTGCTCTCGTTTGGCTTTCTACGTCCAGGTCTTCGAGGGCTGTCCCTTGGAAAAGGGCTGCCTCGCGCTTTTCTTGCTACATTCAAAAGCAAGTGGCAGAGTCTCTTCTGCCATCCCTTTTGGTCGTTGCTTCCTTCCCATCTTCTAAATGATGTTTGCTTTCTTCATGTGTGGTGCTCTCGATGCCACCAACATCCCCCAACGAGGCAAGTCTTCAGCCATCAACGGTCACTGTGTCCAATCTGTTCTTTGATGTTCTTTCGATGTCGATGAGATATAGTCAAGGTCCATATTTTGGCTCTTGTGGACTTGTTTTATTTTATTTTATAGCCTCAACCTGAACTTGTATATGAACAACAGATCATCTGTTCTGTATTCAGTCCCTGGCCTTGTTTTGGTTAATGATAATGAGGTTTTCCATCATCCAAAGCTAGGACTGACCTTAAATGTTACATTTGAAAGGAGGGGTTGAAGCTATGCCTATGCAGAAACTCTCCTAGAAACTGTGTATGAGTGATATGAGAATCCTAGCAAATGGAAAAGGTTAGCGGGGAAGCAAAAGAGGACCAAGGCCCAGGACTCTGAAGAAACAGTATGAGAGGCTGGATGACCCCTAAAATCTATTCTTTCCTTCTTGATTAGAAGTAGAACATCCCATTTTAACTGAGCATATGGCCACCTAGGTAAAGACCACATTTTATAGCCTTCCTTGTAGCAAAGTGCGGCCATGCATTTAAACCAATCAGATATAAACAGATGTGATATGTGCAACTTCCATATGTGCCATCACCCCAATCAACCCCACCCACCCTGCTTCCTGATAAGCCACTCTGGACAATGCCCATGAGAGTGATTCTCCAGGGATGGTGGAGTAAAAATCAGAGAGGGCTGGGTCTCTGATTGGTGTTACTGCTCTGATTCATCTAGACTGTCTCTCCACAGTTAAGAAACATTTCAACTTATGTCTTATTAAGCCAGTGATAATTTGGCTGCATTTGATAGCCTTATTAATATACTATTATGAAGTGGAAATGAAGGGATAATTTCGTTCCCAGGAGGAAAATGGCCACTGGGGTCTGATACAGTAGACAAGCCAAAGAAGTTCTTAAAAAGTAGCTCTTGTATTATATGCTCATAAATGGATTTAAAAAGACAAGCTGTTTAATCAGAATTGAACGAGAGGAAGACTAAGGTAGGCTTTAGGTGTCTAGCTTTTCTTTCCCTCGGAAGCCGACACTGAGACAAGGATTGGAATACCAGACATTTCTTTGGGAGGTGGGTGATCTTAAGAGAATCAGAGCACAGAAAGGAGCATGGAAACAGACAGGACGCCAAAGCTACTGCCAAGGAATTCTTGGAGACAGTGCTGAACATGTATGATAGTTTTCCCAAGGGAAGATAAAAAAAGATGGGGGTTCCAAAATCATACAAGGGATCAGGTTTATTGGTGAGATAGAGACTGGTGGAGTCCTAAAGACCCTGACCCTGAGTCCCCGTTTCAGTTCTGAAACAGGACTCATTTCCACGTTAGAATCACCCACCTTTTGAGATCAAAAGGGCAGCATTTACCCCAGGACAAAGTTTGGAGACAGAGTTCAAAGTTAAGGAAGAAGGAAGAATGGAACAGGAAACACAGGGAGGAAGCAATACATTGAGGGGATCATAAAACATGCATTGAAACAAAATGTGGATTCACGTTTGAAGGTCAAACGGATACATCTGTTTTGCAAATGCTCACCTAATTCACAATAATTCTTTTGTTATAAAGTGGAGTTTTGATCCACCATGTTTCTGTCTGTCATAGACAGCTGTCTCCAAGGATACCGACACTTCAGCAATTTGACAAGCTCTTCTTAGGCCCGGTAATACATGTATTGAGCCATAGCCTTCGGTGCGTAAGAGTGAATGCCAAGAGTAAACGGACAATGACTAGGAGCATGCAGATCTGTACATGTGTGGGTATGTGTGCCAGCATGGCTCCCATAGGAACATGTGGGTGGAGGTTAGCCTGTCAATCAGGTCGCAGCTTGATTGGAGGCTACTGAGAGAAATGGCTCACTGAGGCCAGCTCCTCTCTCTCTCTGCTTTCACCTTCCTGTTGACAAGCCATGTGGAGTCGCATTGAGACCTGCTAGAGCCCTGGAGATGCTTCTACCGCCACTGGATCCACAAGACTTTGCATCCACTGGCCTGTGATCTTCCTGCATTTTACATCATTATGTGGGCTGTATTAGTCTGAAGAGGACTTTATGGACTAGTATCAGACTAATACGGACTTATGGACTTGATCTGGACTGGGCTGGGGTGTTTTTATAATATATAATTACTCCTTGATATAAAGCTCTTTCTTATACGTATGAGTGTCTCTGGATTTGTTTTTCTAGTCAACCTGGTCTAACACATTAGGATATGGGAGAGCTGGAAGGAATATACTCATAAACTGACAGGGAAATTAAGGACGGAACAGGTAAGTGTGATGGAAGGTCTGAAGACACACATACATATAAATAACTTAGAAATATAAGGGACTGTGATGAATGACGATATACAAGTTTTTTTTTAAAGGCAGAATCAATGCCCAGTAACACCTGTAAAATGGGAAATATAAACTACCAAATGAAAGTGGAAGGAATGCTGATGGTGCTGTTGGGTATGTTTAGACAGCTAATGGAAGGTTGGTGGTTCAACCCCCTAGTCACTCTAGGGGAGAAAATAGAGGCTTTCTGCTCTCATAAAGATTTTCAAGCTCGGAAATTCTACATAGGGTCACAATGAATGGGAATCCATTTGTGTTTTGTTTTTGTAAAGGAATGTGTAGTGAATGTTTCTTGATCCTTAACTTCATGAGTTTCTTTTTGAAACTCGGAAGCAAGCCACTTTCTAGGCAGCAGAAATGTGTCTGCATTGAAGCCCCCTACTTAGAGTTGTGCACGTTCTTTCCTGCCCAAGGGTACCCCTCCAAGGATAGGCATCTACCTTCCATTTACCAAACTGTCTCCCAGGCAGCTGGGTTTACTTAGAGGGAATACATTGGTCTATTTTGTACAAGGCTGGCAGTGTCTTTAGGCTTCATACAAAGAATCTCATTCACAAGGGCTTGAGTCAAGAGTCAATCTCCAAAGGGGAAATCCTCAATGCCAGCAGGTCCGACAGAGTGATAGAGACAAAACATGATCTTATGTGGCTATTGCTATTAGGTGTCCTGGAGTCAGTTCTGATTCATGGGGACCTTATCATAATAGAACAGAACAAGGCTCAGTCCTGCACCATCCTTAACATTGCTATGTTGAGCCCCCTGTTGCAGCCACTCTGTCCATCCAATTTCTTGACAGTCTTCCTCCTTTTGCATGACCCTCTATTTTACCAAGCGTGATGTCCTTTCCCAGGAGCTGGGCTCTTCTGATAACAAGTCTGATCCTGTCTTGTCATCCTCCATTCTTAGGGGCATTCTGGTCGTACATTTTCCAAGACAGATTTGCTTGTTTTTATGGAAGTCCATGGTATTTTCAATATTCTTTGCCAATGCCATAATTCAAATGCATCAATTCTTTTGTGATCTTCCTGATGAATTGTCCAACTTTCATATGCATATGAGGTGACTGAAAATACCATGGTGTGGGTCTCCAAAGTGACATCTTGGCTCTTCAATACTTTAAAGAGGTCTTGAGTAGCACATTTGCCTAATGCAATATGCCGTTTGATTTCTTGACTGCTGCTCCCACGAGCGTTGATTTGCATCCATGCAAAATTAAATCCTTGACAACTCTGACCTTTTCTTCACTCGTCAGGACACTACTTATGGGTCCTATTTGGGGGATCTGGGTTTCCCTAACATTGAGTTGTAACGCTGAACTCAGTCCTTGATCTTTCTCAGCATGTGCTTCATGTGTTCCTGGCCTTCAACCAGCAAGGTCGTGTCATCTGCAATCCTGTTGCCACGTTCTTCTTCATACAGTCCAGCTTCTCAGATGATTTGCTCAGTATACAGATTAAGTGTGGTGAACTAATAGAATCCTGACACGCACCTTTCCTGATTTTAAACTATGCAATATTCCTTTGTCTTGGCCACTCAAGTGCCTCTTTGTCCACGTTCAAGTTCCTCATGAGCACAATGAGGTATTCTGGAATTCCCATTCTTGGAAATATCAAAATAAACAGCTGCAAACATCCATGAATAACTGGAACACGGGGTATGTATGAAGGATCCACAGTTGATTGCTTTTGCAGAGTCAATAAAACACCCCTTTTCCCCCCTGGTATTCTTTGCTTTCAGCCAACGTCCATCTGACATCAGCAGTGATATCCCTTGTGCCAGGCCCTCTTAGGATAGCAGCTTGAATTTCTGGTAGCTCCCTGCCAATGCACTGCTATAACCATTGTTGAATTATCTTCAGCAAAATTTTACTTTCATGTGATGTTAATTATGTTCTTTGATAATTTCTGAGTTCTGTTGGTCACCTTTTTGAGGAATAGGCACAAAACAGAATTTCTGCTGGCCAGGTATCTGTCTTCCACATTTTGTGGCATAGACTAATGCATGCCCCAGGGCTTCATCAACTCATTGAAACATTTCAATCGGCATTCCATCAATCTTGGAACTTTTCCACTAATGCCTTCTTTACAGTTTGGAATTCTTCCTTCAACATTATCACCTCTTGATCACATGCTGCCTCTTGAAAATGTTTAAATGTCCATCAGTTCTTTTTGCTACCTCTTATTTTGATGCATCCTGCATCATTCAACATTTTGCCCAGAGAATCCTTCAATATTATAGCACAAGGCCTGTTTTTTTCCCCTTCAGTTCTTTAAGCTTGAGAGATGCTGAGCGTGTTCATCCTTTCTGATTTTCTAATTCCAGTCTTTGTACATTTATTATAATAGTTCTTGACCTGTCTTTTGAAATTCTCCATTCAGCTCTTTTACTTCATTGTCTCTTCCATTGGCTTTAGCTAATCTATGTTCAAGAACAATTTTCAGAGTTTCTTCTGACATTTACTTTGATCTTTTATTTCTTGTCTTTTAATGACCTTTTGCTTTCTTCGTGTATGATGTTCTTGATGTCCTCCTACCGCTCATCAGGTCTTCTGTGTTATTTGTGTTCAATGTGTCAAATCTGTTCTTGAGATGTTCTCTGCATACAGGTGGGATATAACTCAAGATCATATTTTAGCTCTTGTGGACTTGAATTTTCTTCATCTTAACCTGAACTTACATATGAGTAATTTGATGGTCTTCCATATGAGCAAGTGATGGTTCCACAGTTGGCCTCTGGCCTTGATTTGGCTTGTAATATTGAGCTTTTCCATTGTCTCTTCCTGCAGATGTAGTCAGTTTGATTCCTGTATATTCCATCTGATGAGATCTATGTATACAGTGACCATTTATGTTGTTGAAAAAGAAAGGTATTTGCCAAAAAAAGATATCTGCAAAGAAGAAATTGTTGGCCTTGCAAAATTCTACCTCCAGCTTCATTTCTAGCACCAAGGTCTTATTTCCCTTCCCTTTTATCTCCAACCTCTGCACTCAAATCACCAATAATTATCAATGCACCTGACCTGATAGCATGTTTGATGAATTTGAGACCGAAGAAGTTGGTTAAATTCTTCAATTAAGAAATTGAAGAATTTTAGTGTTTTGGTGATGAACTTTAGTGGTTGGTGATGACAATGATCTTTACTTTAATGATCACGAACTTTAGTGGTTGGTGATGACAATGATTGCCACCCCACCACACCCATGTCTCAGGGGGACAAACGACAGAAACACGGGTGAAGGAAGACAGTGGAAGGTGAGATATGAAAATAGTAACAATTTATAATTTATCAAGTGTTCATGAGGGTGGGAGGGTGGGGGAGGGAAGGGAAGAAAATGAAGAACTGATACCAAGGACTCAAGTAGAAAGAAAATGTTTTGAAAAGGCTGATGGCAACATATGTGTAAATGTGCTTGACACAACGGATTCGTGGATTGTTATAAGAACTGTAAGAGCCCCCAAATAGATGATTAATTAAAAAAATAACTTTAGTGGTTGGTGCATAAATCAGAATAATCGTTACATTAACTGGGCTTCCTTGAAGGCAAATAGAATTATCCTATTACAGACAGTATTGTACTTCAAGATAGATCTTGAAATGTTTGGGGTTTTTTGGACAATAAATGTATCACAATTCCTCTTTAATTTGTCATTCCTAGAAAAATGGCTAATACCAGGCTATTTCAGTTCCTAAGTCTATGTCAGTCTTTATGCATTCCACCTCATTTTTGAGGACTTCCAATTTCCCCAGATTCATACTTCGTACATTCCATTTTCCAGTTATTAACAGATGCTGGCAGCTATTTATTCTAATTTTTAGTTGTGCCTCATCAGCAAATGAAGATCCTGAAAGCTCTCCTCCATCTACATCATGATGGCTGACTCTACTCAGGGAAGAGGGGGCAATCTCTCCCCCAAGTATATTTTGAGTGCCTTCCAACGTCAAGGGCTCATCTTCCAGCACTGTATGTGACAGTGCTCCACTTCCATTCATGGGGTTTTCAGTCCCTGAAAATGTTCTGCTATTTACAAATTTTTTGGTGTCTGATAGGCACACAACATGCTGTCATAGCACCCTGTAAAAAGGATGTGGGGCAATGGCCACGAACCTCCTATGACTCCACAGGGGGGCAAGGAGGAGCCAACTCATCAGCAGCCCAAGGCCAGTTCTAAGGAGGCTGAGTCAGTCAGGACTCCACCCTCCCACCTCCTTTGCCAAGCCTAACACCAACCATCCCTCTAAAAGCATTCTCCACTTCTCTGCTGGTTTCAGTAACTCATGGACATGGTCACAGAGACCTCAGACAACACACATGATTACAGGGTTCACTAGGGAAGTTAAAAGGCTACAATTTGGGATCAGAAAAGCTTTTCTCAGCTGTGCCCACAGGCAGGCCTCTCTTTGGGCCTTGACCTCTCAGCATGCCCCACTTGGGCAATGTTACAAAGCTCATTTAGTCA